TACTTAGCATCTCTTTAGTGACTATAAAGTCTAGCAACCACAAGTTTATTAGTGTCAGTTTTATTAGCACTTTTCTGACTGAACCCCAAGATTTCTAATTTGGAATTTGTATAAAGAATTTTATACAAATTCCTGCTCTGATTTCTGTTGTTGATCATTATAGTAAGTTTTGCTAAAAGCCACCAGCAATAGCTATGCTGCTGCCTGAATGCTGTACTGCCTAGAAATTTTTTCTGCCAGTTTAATTAGGACATCACCTTAAAATTTAGCCTCACAGAAAGTTTCAGGACATGGACAAAATGTAGACAACTTGTTAACCAGAACATAATATGAATGACCTCTAGTTCAGTTTCCATTAGAGTCCTCCTCTTCTGAAACCTTATGATCCCAGTCTTTACTGTCCACATTCTTATCAGCATGTATTTTGATTTACACTTATTATAATCTAAAACTTTCCCAACTTGCATCTCTAAACTTTTCAAAATTCTTTATACAAATTCCAAAAAGCTTCTGAATCACATGTTCAGTTTAGTCACATTAACACGACTTTTTATACCAATTTCTATTATAGTCAGGGTTTTTGTTTTTATTTTGACTCTGTAACCAAAAGACCTGACAATAACAATTTTAGAAGAGAGATAGTTCATTTGGGGATCACAGTTTTGAGGGTCTAAGTCCATAGATGGCTGACTCCATTGCTCTGTGCCCAAGCTGAGACAGAATATCAAGGCAGAAGAGCATGACAGAGGAAAACAGCTGAGAACATGGCAGATAGGAGGCAGAAAGAGATCACCACTCATCAGGGACAAAATATATACCCCAAAAGCACACCCCCAGAGACCTACCTCCTCAAGGCACACACTACTTGCCCACAGTTACCATGTAGTTAATCCATTCAAGTAGATCAACACACTGATTAGGTTAAGGTTCTCATAAGCCAATCATTTCATTTCTAAACTTTATTGTATTGTCTCTCATGTGAGCTTTTGAGGGATACCTTATATCTAAATCATAACATGCCCCCCAAAATTTCATACTAATTCAGGAATGTTAAGAGATTAATTGATTAGATTATGAGAGTTATGACCTAATCATTTAATGCATTGATCATTTAATGGATAAATTCATTTGATGGATTAATAATTTTAAACTACAACTATACTAGGTGATAACTGTAGGCAGGTGGGGACCCAGTTATAGGAGGTAGGTGATTGGGGCATACCCTGGAAAGGTTTATCTTCTCTGTTACCCATTCCCTGAACACACACACCCTGCTTTCTGTCTGAAAATACCTGAACAGTTTTCTTCTGCTGTGCCATTCTGCCATGATGGTCTACGTCACTATGGCCCACAGCAATGGAGACAGCCACATGGACTGAAACTCTGAAACCATAAGCCAAAGTAAACTTTTTTTTTATCCTAAGTTGTTCTTGTTAGATATTTTAGTTACAGCAATGAAAAGCCAACTAACATAATCTCCCTCTATAAACAACTTCAAAATTTTGCAAACTATATTAAATAACTGTTTTCAGTCACTCATCAAATCACCTAACACTGTTATTACTCAGTGATGGGAAACAAATGAGTCAAGTCCTATAATTGCCCCAGCACTCTTTTCTGAGGCCCATTTTGGACTACAGTAAAGAAAGAAGAACAAACAACATCAACTCATATAACATAGCAGGAGATAGATGATTAATAGATGGATAGATAGATATATAGAAAGAACAAGCACAATACAGAAAAGAACTTAAGCATAGAAATCAGCTTCAGCAAATTGTACTTCTTTTAGGTAAAACTTCATAAGACCAGCAAAATAACAATTTTGGAGGAAAAACAACTACAAGGGAATTTTAAGGTCAACAATTTCTAGGGCTGTAATCGACCTGCGTGTACATTCAAGTTTCAACCAGCCAGAGTGAGGAGATTTTGTAGATTACTTAGGGTATTTGGTAAAGATCTGACTAAAATTTTTTGTACATATGAAAAATCAAGGCAAAGACCAAATAAATGTGTGTATATACGTAATTATACCACAGCCACAGATAAAATCTCTTAGATACTCAGTGAAAGAAAAATAAATTTCTAGTCATTTCTGGAAAAAATCAAAAACAAAAATACTTAGTAAGCAAAAGTCACTATTTAAAAATCTTCTCTGTTATGGGAAGTCATGTAATAAAATTTATTTCAATATCAAAAAACAAAAGACCCCAAATAAATCACAAAGGATTATATCTTATTAAGAGAGCTAAACTAATAAGATGAGTAAAGACAACACCAAAAACAGCCCAAGAAAGCTTAAAACAGTCTCAAAAGAATCTAGCTCCTCTTCAGTTAATTTAACTGACTGTCAAAACAAAATATTCTTCAAAGATGAACAACACATTTATATACTCTACAAAGTAACATTCATAATAATAAGCATTCAATTAAAAAAATAGAGATGTGAAAAAGTCACATAGCAGAAAAACTGTATTAAAGAAAAAAGGAGAAAAATCAGTCAATAGAAATAGACCCCAAAATTCTAGATTATGAAACTAGCAAACAAGGTCTTCAATATAAGTTTTGTAAACAAACTTAAGGATTTAAAATAAAACATAAACACAAAAGGAGAGAAATAAAGATTTTAAAAAAAGGAACTTCTGGAGACAAATACAGTTGTATCGTTGTGGGGCAGGTTGCTCATGAACACACCAAGTCCCAGTTTTGTCCACACTGAAGAGTCTTTATTTAGTCAGCAGGCAGTAGGACTGCCTACTGTAGGACCCATAACTGTCTTAGCAAGGAACAGCCCCAACCCAGAGCATTTTAGGGTATTTAAAGGCCAAAACCACATCTAGGTTGATGTAGCTGCAAGCAAGCAGGCACATACTCTGAATTGGGGAGTTACTGAGACAATGAAATGGGTATATTGGTACTTCCCATGGGACTTTCCAGGTTGGCATATCAGCAAGCAAACAGAAGGAAAGTGGGTCAAAATGACCCTAGTTTAGTAGAGAATGGTTACTAACGTCTAAACAATCAATCTCTGACAGGGTACACTGCCCAAGGAAAATGGAAACCAATGAGAACAATTTTACATTGTAAAAGAATTGCTATTTTGTGTTGCCAAGTGTTTTATGCTAGGTAACTATTAATGGGTACAGCATTTCTTACAGGATATGGAGTCTCAGGACAAAATGAAGTCTGTTTGGTCATTGTCCATATAGCCTGGCCCAAAACAGTATGAGCTAGAAAGTATTGGATGGCCTTTACAGAAAATTAGACACACCAGAAGACAAGATTAATGAATGGATTAATGAATGTCAAGACAGAGCAATATGTACTATCAAGGCAGAACTCAAAAAGAAATCTGCAAATAAAACTAGCAGAACCTCCATAACACGTATGAAAATATCAAGGACTTGTGAGTTCATATAATATGAGTCCTAGAAGGACTCTGGGGGAGGTGTCTATGGGAGGGAGGTCATGTCAAAAATATTTAAAGAACATTTTTCATAAAACCAGTGGATGACAATTTTCCAAATTGGGTGAAAATTGTAAAGTCTATGAATCCAAAAATCCCAGAAAAATATCAAGTGAAACATAAAAATCAAACAAAGGTATATCATGATTTATTTTCTGAAAATCATTCATAAAGAAAAAATTTAAAAATTAACAGTGAAAAAGACACATTACACTAAGGAAAGAAAGATAAGAGAACTGCTGACTTCTCATTAGAAAAAATGCCAGTCAGAAGACAACTGAACAACTTCAGTGTGCTGAGAAGATAAAATTGTCAGTCAATAATATTAGAGCCATTGAAAATATCACCCCCAAATAAAGATGAAAGCTCCCAATGAATAAACTGAGAGAGTTCATTCATAACCAGCAGATCTACACTTAAATAAATATTTTAAAAGTTCTTTTGGTTGAAGGAAAATGATTCTAGATGGATTAGCTCTATAAAAAGAAAAGAAGAATACTAGAAATGATAAATATAAGTAAATATATACCTTTTACTCATAGTTATTTAAAAGAAAATTGGCTGCTTATAACAAAAAAATAACATTTTGGAATTTATTACTAGTGTAGAAACAAAATATGTTGTAATAGTACAAAGTCTAGAGAGGGTAAAATCATACCATCATAACCTTCTTACATTACATATAAAATGATATAATAATATTTGAAGGTGATTAGACTATGATATTTTTAAGGTATATATTATGAACTCCAGAAGGACCACTAGAAAAAAAATAGGTATAGGTATAAAAAATAGAACACCAAGAAGTACTCAATTAATCTAAAAGACAGGAAAAGAGAAATTAAAGGAATAAAGAAAACATGGGAAAATATAAAATGCATAGCAAGTAGGAGACTTACACTGAAATATATAAATGATTATATCCAGTGTGATTCTTCTCAGACTAGATTAAATAAAAGCAAGATCTAAGTAAATACTGTCCCAAAACATAAACTGTAATTTAAAGAGAGATTAAAATTTAAGAAGAAAATGATATATCACACTAAACTATGATATTAATATCAGACAAAATAGACTTTGCTTCAAGTTAAAGAGGAAAAGTTAATAATAAAAGGGAAATCTTATCAAGAATACAGAAGAGAGCTGGGCACAGTGGCATATGGCTTTAATCCCAGCAACTGGGGAGGCTGAAGCAAGAGGATGGCAAGTTCAAGGCTAGCCATAGTAATTTAGTGAGATCCTTGGTATCCTGGCAAGACCCTGTCTCAAAATAAAAATAAAAAGAAGTAGGAATAATAGGAATATAGCTCAGTCATAGAATGTCCCTTGGTTCAATCCCCAGTACCAAAAACAAACCCAAATCAAACAAACAGAAAAACATAATGGCTGGAGGTATATCTTGGTGGTAGAGTGCTTGCCTAGCATGCACAAGGTCCTGGATTCAATCCCCAACGTGGGGTTGGGAGAAGACAATCTTATATGAGAGAACATCTAATAATAGAACTCCAAAATATATGAAGCAAAACTTCACAGAGTGCTCGATTCAGCAGCACATATACTAAAACTGAACAATACAGAGAAGATTAGCATGGTCCCTGCACAAGGAGGACATGCAAATCCATGAAGTGTTCCATATTCTTAATTAGAATAATATATATTCCATGGTTGTATAATTATATCAAAATGGACTCTACTGTCACGTATAACTAAAAAGAACCAACACTCTTCCCCTACCCCCAAAACCTCAATAGAACCAGAAGAAAAAATCTATAATCACATTTAGAGATTTCAATAACCTTCTCCCCATAATTGATTGAGAGAACAGACAGAAAATTAATAAGGATATAGAAGACACAAACATCCCCATCAACCTCATTAACATCTAAAGAACACAACATCTAACATGGGAGATATAATATTATCTTTAAGTGAGCATAGAACATTCCCCTAGGGAGACCATATGTTTGGCCATAAAATGTCTCAGTAAACTTTAAAGTATTAAAATCATTCAGAATATCTTTTCTGATGACAGGTAATATTAATTAGAAACCAATAACAAGAAGACAACAGGAAAACCCCATGCACTTAGAAATTAAACACTATGCTTAAAAATAAAGAAGAAATCACAAGAGAACTTAGAAAATACTGTGAGTTGAATGATAATGAAAACATGATACCATAATTTGTGAGATGAATCTGATCCAATGCTTATAAAGAAATGTATAACTTTAAGGGCTCAAGTTAGAAAAGCGGAAGGTTCTAAATATCAACAACCAAAGTTTCCACTTACATAACTGGACAAAGAAGAGTAAGTTAAACCTGAAGCAAGAAAAATGGAAGACAATCATAAGGAGTAGAACTCAGTGAAATACAATAATAGAAAATGATAAAGGAGCTCATGAAACAAAAGGTCTTCTTTTTGAAAAGATGAACAAAAAGAAAAATGGCCAATCAAGAAGAAAGAGGACAGACATGAACTTTGAGTGAGGAATAAATGGAGGGGCAGGAGTACACACCCTAGGGACACCACAAGGATAATGAAGGAGGATTATGAACATCCTGAGCCAATAAATTTTACAGCTTAAATGCTTAGACAAATTTCTTGAAAATTACCTATTACAAAAACTGATACAAGAATAAAAGGAAAATCTGAGTATTGCAATATCTATTTTTAAAATGTTTTTATATTTAAAAACCTTCTCAGATTGTGAATTCACAGGTGAATTCTATCAAACATATAATATAAAAATATCAGCCCTACCAAACTCAGAAAACAGGAGGAGGGAATCATTTTCAACTTATTATTATTTTTTAAACACAGCATTATCCCGAAGAAAACAGGGCAAAAGTGTTATTTAAAACAAAATCTGGGCACAGTGGTGCATGCCTATAATCCCAGCGACTCTGGGGGGCTAAGGGAGGAGAATGGCAAGTTCAAGGCCAGCCTCAGCAACTTAGCCAGGTCCTAAGCAATGTAGGAAGACTCTTCTTTAAAACAAAACAAAACAAAACAAAAACAAAAAAACAGAAGTACAGGGTGGGGGGATGTGGCTCAGAGGTTAAGCTCCCCAGAGTTCACTCCCTCTTACCAAAGAAACATACACAAGGAACAAAACAAATGAACAAACAAGATAGAAGAGGAAAAAGAAAAAGACAAATATTTCTCATGAACACAGGTGCAAAATTTGACAGAGATATTAATAGAACCCAGCCATATATAAAAAGGATAACATATCCCATGAAGTCAGGCTTATCCCCTAAATGCAAGGTTAGTTTAACACTCTAAAATCAATCAAGGCCTTTCACCTTATTCAGGATATAAGAGAAAACAATATGATCATCCCAATAGGTGCTGCGACAGTAGGAGTATTTGATAAATATTTGGTATTTCCTTTTGGTTAAAAACTCTCAGCAAAGTAGGAAAGGAAGGAACTTCTTCATGTGATAACTTGGGCTAACCTGACACTTGGTGGGGACAGATCGTACATGGAAGGAGCAACTCATGCCTCCCTCCACTTGGTTTTGCATGGCCTTGGAGCCGTGCCAAGTGCAGTAAGGCAGAATATGGGTGGGTGAGGAGGGGAGGCACAGATATTGTAAAGGAATAGATGAAACTTTCTTTGTTCATATGCAACAGAATCTTGAAAACAGCTATTAGAATAAATTTAGTAAAAGTTAATACAAAGACTCCATTATATTTCTAAATGCTAGCAACAAACAATTGGAAAATAAAATTAAATACTCTTTCCTACCTCCAAACAGGAGAGAATGAGAGAGCTAAATAAAATGCAATGTGAGTTCTATCAGTGGGGGCCCTAGGGTGCCAGGAGCAAGAGGCTCCCACTCTTGCCTGGGCAGGGCAGGAGTGGGGACCAAGGAAGGGGAGCAGCAGAGCGAGGTTTGGTGAGGTTCAGTCCAGACCCTAGAATTCTTATCCTGCACTCCTTTGTGTCACCTTTGAATAGAGCCTGTGCACAAAGAGCCAAATAAACAGTGACTTCAGACTTAAGAGTATTAAAGGCTGTGTGGGGCAAAAACCCCAGCAAGAAGGTGTGTTATGTGTGATTTAGGGAGTTAGTTTACAAAGCCACAGAAGGTCATTTAGTCATTATGTAATTACTCTTAAATCCCGCATATGGGGTCTTTGTTAAGTTGCGTTAAAATACTCATGTGTGAGCTCTCATTTAGGAAACTATTCAAGAATTAATCTTTGTTTCCTTTGTTAATACTTTTTTTTCTTTTGAAAATTCTGGGTGGCCACAGGGAAGTGGGGAGAGACTCCGGTGGCAGTGTTAACTCTACTTCTTGCTGTGTGACCTCAGACAGTGCCTGCCTCTTTCTGTTCCTCAGTGCTCCATAATACTTAAAATGAAGCCAGAAGTAGCCCCCTCACTCTGGGGTGCTGACTAGGCTGAGCTGAAAAAAAAAAAAAAAAAAAAAAGCTTTCAGTGCGATGCTTGACGCAAGGCAGGGGATCAAATGGTACTATTTTGTGTGTGTGGTTTTTTTTTTTCCTTTCACATATTTTAAAACTTTGTCATTTAACTTTATCAGAAATAAGGTACCTGAACTTCACGCGTCAAGCCACCACAGTAACATAGCCTTATTTAATGCTAAAACTACATTCTGTAAAACCATGAATTCAACTGAATCGCCTTTAAATAAATACAATCTTTCTTACATTATCAACAAATTAAACTTCGACAATTACACTTGCTACTGTGGTTACCTCTGAGTTCGTCTAAAACTCTTCTGTATTTTATTGCTGTGTAAATATTTAGAAGACTTTAAAGGGCTAATTTCAGATTTGGGCCTTCTCTCTTCCATGGTTTATATTTCAAGACTATTTGTGCACTTTGAATTCTCACTTGTGAAACTTAGGACAGCCCTCACATTGTGACTATTTACATTTTTTTTTTTGTAATGTGCCACAGGTTTGTGAAACTTTCCATTTGAATTTTTGATGTGATTAGCTGCTTTTAATTGCATCTAAAAATTCCTTGCCAAATAATTATTAAAATGCACAGAAGTTGTACAGCTGAGACATAAGCAAAGCAGAACAGGTCTATGTGAAAACCATTTCAAGTGGAGTAACTATGTAAGTCCATCCAGTTTATACCTGTATGGGAGATTTAATTCAAACAGAAACAGAGCAAAAGATAAATGAGGTGAGAATGGTAAGAGACCGTTAGATACAAGTTCAAATGCCATTTTTTAAAATCTGAGCTTAATTGAATCTTCTGCAGAGATTTTTTTTGGAATAAAAAAGCACATATATTTTTTTGGAATAAAAAAGTATATAATTATGGTTCACAGCAAATTGCATTTACTGCCTGTTGAGCAAACTCAGTTGGATTAGTCAACCACAGGGTCTCCCACCCCTGTGTCAGGTGGGGATCAAACTCTCTCTGCTAGTTCTCTAAGGCCCTAAATAATACCTAAGAGCATACTTCCAGTGTTCTGGGAGATGGGTTTGTCAGGCAGCCAGACTCCTGCTGATCCCAGAGATTTCAGTGTCAAATTCAAACTCACTTCCTTGGTGGACTCAGGTGCCTCCACAGCATCCCTTCTTCTGACTTTTCTGGGCTCCCCAGCATCACCCCCACCCCTTTCTCCAGCCGCACTGTACTCTCGAACATTTCCTAGAGGGAAGGTCTCCTGCCTTCTGCCATCATTCAGTTATCTACATCCCTTCAGTCTTCTAGTCTTTCCCTCCAGGACATTTAGTGTCTGTCATGTACAGGTACCATGTATAATGATGGGGGTCCATAGTAAGCCCCAAAGAAACCCTGTCCTTGCCTCATGGAGTGACCACCAGGTGGAGGCGAAGCAGGCCAGAGACCCTCACCCAGAAGACCCTTGCTATAATTAAGCTTCTCTTCCTGTCAGATCAGCAGGATGCCTGCAGAGGTTATTGTGGCTGGTAGCTTCCTCTTTCTTGCAAATACCAGGTTCGCACACAAAAGGTGTGAGAGTAGAGTCTGCTAGCTTGTTGTATGAAAAGATATTATCTCCTCCGTTTTCTTGGTAAAAACTTAAGAAACCTGTGTCTGGTCTACAGGATGGAACAGAGGTCACTTGTCATGTAAAACCCTCAAGCCCCTCCTCCCACTGGATATAAAGTTCAAAGAATTTCCAAAATCTTTGTTCAGAGGAAGAATTCTTAGGTGTGAGCCACCTCTGAACCCTGCAGTCAATAAACCTGCTTCCTGAAAATTCCTCAGGTGTCCACCCTCTTCCGTCCCACTTCAAGGAAATAGAATTTACTCTAGGTTTTCCTCCCGGAAAGCTACAACACGCCTGCCCTGTGAGCACTGTGGAGACAAAGCACTTGGGACGATGCAGGCCCATGAAAATGCAGGCGCTTGATCTTGCTGGAAATGCTTCTCTGAGGAAGTGGCTGTGACCTTGAGACAGAGGCGGGATTCATGCAAGGAAGGGATAGAGCTGTGCCTTTGAGGACTGTGACCTTTGTCCCAGTTCCTATCTGTGCCAGTGCCCTCTTGCTTCTCTCTGAGCCCTGCTTTCCTACCACCCTCATCCCTAGAGGCTCAGCTGCAGTGCCCCCTCTCAAAATCTATGATGGCCTCCTCCTAAGAGTGAAGTGTCCTCCCTCTGGGCCTATGCCCTGTGGATCTTG